TGGGAGAATAAGAAAGGTCAGATAAACCAAACAGAAGCAAGGGAGAAATGCTTGCATGATTGAAATCACCAACAAGTAGGTGGAGATTTTCATCTAATAATGGAACTAGAAATGGAATGTAGGAACCAAAGAAAGCAGAAATGTCGGTCCGAGTACACGAGGGAGATATATACACATTGGTGATGATTGTACTTTGGTGACGAGAAAATTTAGGGTGACAACGAACAGACAAACAGTCAATGCAGTTTTCAGAGTAGTTAAATATAACTTCTGACTTGCCACACCAGGAAACATTGATGTAAGTAGCCACACCGCCTCCGGTTTTTTTCCTACTTCGTTGTCTATCCTGCCGGTAGCAATCAAACCCTTCTATTCGCACGAGAACGTCTTCGATGTTTTGGTTTAGCCATGTTTCTTGCACACAAACAACACATGTGTTGGAATTAATGCGGGTGTTTAGAATACAGTTTAAATTCGAGATCTTTGCGAATAGTGAGCGAACGTTGGTGCTCACCAATGGTGGCACAGTCATCTTGGCAGGTGTGCAAGTAAGTGCAGTCTGCCATCCGGCCCGTCGGCGTTTTTTATGACTCACCAAGCAAGTGGCATTGTGGGTGGATGCCAAGATGGTCAATTCTGATTGCAAGAACACCCACCTTGAACCATGTTGGGACGTTTGGGTTTAAACAGTCTCAGTTTTCGTAACCAACAGCCATGCACTTTCGTGCTGTAGACGATACATTGTTAAGAGACTTTTTCCATTTCTTTCATCGACACGTTTAAGATCGGTCAATTATTCGCCCTGAGTTTTATTTTCGCATAACAATGGAGAGGCCATTCCTTGCTTTTCTCCGGTTGTTCTGAACTCTTAGTAGAACTTATTATCGTATTTTTAGGAAAAGAAATTCGTGGCTGCGGATTCTCGTATTAAAATGATCAATGAAATTCTGAGCGGTATTCGAGTGAGTCTTTTTCATTCCGGTTTCCCGGTTAATCATATTTCCACTTGATGTTGAAGTGGCTTATGCTTTATCCCTTTTTCTGTAAATCGCCTCATGTGTGATAAAAAAATTTTTTTCAGGTACGTCAGATAACCTTCATCTACTAGTAGATGGATAATGCTACTGTAGAACATATAGAACATATATCTTCACACTCCTCTGAATTCAGACTGTGGAAGGGAAGGCCTGATTAATAAAAAAAATCTGTCTCTCCACGTGCCTTTTGTTTATATTGATCCTTGCGGTATTTGAATGGTACGCTTTTCTCGAAGAGGGAAAAGAAGTCTCTTCCCAGGGTAACAATTCAAATTCGCCACTGTTGCTCATCTTCATTATTTGGAGACTTCAGCTCACATGTGGTAAAATAGATAATCTTGAACGGAAGCCAATATCTTTTGGTCTCATCTTGGAGCTTGTTCACCAATTCTGGCTGTCCAACGCTTTCATTTCATTTGATCTGAGAATGATCTTAGTTATTGGCTTATTAGCCTATTAGCATATGTTCATACGACCTCGTGTGACTGAACCGCAGAACACCGTATTTAGACCCGTTTTGTGTCAATTGTGACTGCTAGTTAGTGCCTCAGAAATTTTTCTTCTTTACGCCTATAATACAAGTCGAAATTCTAATAATGCTTTGTAGCATCAGTTGATGTTTCGCTCCTGCAGTGCAATAAAATATGATAATAAACCTGGTGTATTCCTATCTTAGTTGAAACAAATTTTGGATTAACCATTTTTTTAAATCTGTGCATTTGCATTTTTCCGTACGGTTTGTACTCGTACGAATTTAAGTTTTTCCCGAACATAATTAATAATGATCAGGACGTTGGTTAGTGTACAATGACTGTGGAAGTTGTTGTTTCCTTCCTGGATCATAGTATATGCTCTTATTCATTTTCTATTTTAGTACATTTATTATTTTTTTTATTTATTCTCAACAGCCTACAGCGTAGAAGTAGAATAACGTTGCCGCCGTTGATTTTTTCAGGTTATCAAGTTGTACGCCTGGGAACCATCTTTCATCAAAGAAATCACACGACTCCGGGACGAGGAAATTTACTATTTGCGTCAGTTTTCATTTTGGCAGTCCATCGCTTTTCTATGGTCGTGCGCTCCATTTCTGGTAGGTGTCCGTTCAAAAATTGTTTTCCCTTATTCTGTCTATTCGTTTTTCTATGTTCAGGTAGTCCAAAAATGCAACTAGAATACTGCAATTTTGAAGCCGGATTTGTTTTCCTGAACGAATTCCAAGTTTTCCGGTGTTCTTCCACTTATAAATCAGTAACCAAATTGCTTTTGACCGGATTTTTCTTGAGTGACAGTTATTAGTTCTATAAGCTCCAATTTTTAGATCATCTCCACGCAAAACAAGCGTCATTTTCAAAAACCTGTCCCATCTCGAACTCAGCCTCTTCCTTCGTTTGCTTGAAGTGGCCCTGCAGGAAGTCTGGGAAGCTTTCCGTAGCTCACAGTTAAATTGCTGTTTTACTTCCTCGTTCAACAATGGTAGCATCAAACCTTCGGACCGATCTCCAGCGCGCTTGCTCCATCGTTTTCGGTCGTCTCGTCCCTCATACGTGATCCTAAGCAAGTAAATTCTCTCTGATTGGATCTGTGGCGCTTAAAATCTCTCACCCCAACACGAGACTGTTTGATTACCGGCTTGTACGGTTTCTAATGCTCTTGTTGTTACGTCCAGTCCATCCGATGATGGACTGATGGCACTCCTGCCACACAATCGAAGTTCACTGGGCCTGTCTGAGACTCACGGCTGTAAAGCATGTGTGGTTTGTCGCTCGG